TCTTGTGGCTAATGAAGATGTTGTCGAAACCAGCTGAAAAAAAATGATCAGCACTGCTTTAGCTTGAGCCAGTCAGTTCCCATACATATATGATACAGTGGTAGAAGTGACACTTTGGGATATTGAGTGTCTATTGAATGAGAGTTGGCTTTGAATATGACAAAGATTATGACATCACTAGACCAGAGTTGTGGAATGTCACCTCCATCATGATAACATCACTGAAACATTATCCACAGAGGTTTGGGGCAGTAATAGTTGCATGTTTTCATGCTCTTTGTGTGTGTATGTGTGTGTGTGTGAGAGAGAGAGAAAGCCCACTCCAGATGTTTGGCATTAGTGATCGTGTTTGAGGAGGATGGACTGGTTTTTAGTGACGCCCTCCATCTCCCTCCCCCAATTCCTGTCTCCTGCAGGAAATGGGGTTTGGGCTCATTTCAACTCCTGTGTGTGCCTCTGGCTCTCACACAACACATTGTGGTCATGTGTTTGTCTGTGAGAGGGACAAGAATGCTCCTCCGTGTGTGTTCCTGAGCCAGGCTACGTGCCTTTTATCTACTCCATTGCTTCTTTGCCCTATTTCTCATAGACTTAAAGGGATAGTTGATGATAGAAGATGTCATCATTTTTTAAATGAATGTCATTTCAAACCTGTGTAATACATAAAAGGAGAGATTTTGAAGAATGTGCTGGTTGCTCTCCACAACATTTTCACAACTTTTATATAATCAGGGATGCACGTAAGTGTTTCAGTCTGGTTCTCATGAGAGCACCTGGAGATTTTATTTGGTACTCGCCCTGCACATAGTGTGACCCATTAAATATAACTATAAAAATAAAATAATAGTAATAGTATTATTGCACTTTATTTATTTATTAATAAAAATATAAATAAAGTGCGATAATACTATTATATTTTAAAATAAAAAAATTAGTATTAAATAAAATATAATTATTTTATAGTCCACCTAAAAATACAGCGCTAATATTTACATTTTATTTTATTTATTTTTTATGTGAATTTTCAACATTTTCAAACCTAAAATCAGCAAGCTTTTATGTTGATGGGTTGCCGGAAAGTAAGTAAGTGTGCTGTCATTTTTAGGGCACCAGTGAATGAAATGTCACAGTTTTGCTTTTTGTTCTGAAACCTGCAGTGCATAGCCTAGATTTATGTTTTCATAAATCTTATGCAGTATTGCAATTAGTTGATCTAAAACAGTGATTTTGCATTAACAGCTGTCAACCATGTCGGTACACAAATGAGTGGTCTGAACTTATTTACCCAGCACATTATTTATTTTGGTCGCTTATTATTATTATTTTAGGTAAACTTTTCCTTTAAACAAAATTGCTGGTATGTGTTATGTGAACAGATTTTCCTCCACATTTGTCATAGAAAGTCAGTCAGGAATATTCCTTGTCTGATTCTCACATAACCTTTAGCTGTGTGTTTGTCTGGTGTGACAGCATTGATTTATGATGTTCCATCATGTTCCATCATGTTCAATCTTATGGTGGTTATTAGGGGATGATATAATCTATGCATACTTGTCGCTCTTCATATGAGCAGGATCAGAGCAGACTGCATCAGAAGAAGCAGCCTTCATCTCAGCTGTGTTTGACGTACGTCAGCATTTTCTTCTTTGATCAGCGGCAGCACAGAAGATACGGACTATTAGCTGAAGTGCTGTGTGTGCATTTCTGACTTAGCTGTATTTTTGGGGACAACATTTCTGAAACTTTTCCTACAACTATGTATCTTATAGTCATTAGAATTAATTTATAAACAATAGAAGTATGCACTAAAAAATTATTATTTTTTATTCAAATTTTTAAGCTGCATTATGTAACTTTTTTTAGTTAAAAATGATCCAAAATCAATTATTGAGCAAGTACATAACCAATCAATGTTCAAAACTATCTCCTTACCTTAGCCTGAATCACAACGGTAAGCTTGTAAAAATGTTTTCTAATTTGAGTGGTCCGGGTTGTTCATCTTTGCGTCATTATGTCACATCTGTATACATAAAGAAGGAGTCCCGGCTATGTTAATGTTGATGTTGTTAACATTAACAATTTGAGAAAAAATGATAACAATAATAATAATTTGCACGGTTTGATGTGATCTGAGCTAACTTTGCGATCATTAAATTTAATCACCATTGGTAACACGGTTTATTGTAAAACTTTTTTTTTTTTTCAGTTGGTCAGAAAAAAACTGGAAGACATGTCACTTACTTGTTCAGATGACATTTCTTCTTAAACTTCTTTTTTTTGCACATACTTCCAAGACGTATCTGTAATTCTGAAGTACAGTGAATATCTACACTGGTGCGTTGACTGACAGCCCACACACACCTCAAAACATTAGATTCATCTGCACTGAGGAGCCATGCCGATGCACAACCCATGTAAAGAAGATAATTCCGCAAATAACTGCAATTGCAGGTTTCAAACAGAGATGGCAATAAAGAGGCAAAACATACGGACTGCAGCTTTAATGGTTGTTTGCAGCAACCCAGAAGAACATTTGGGGTCTCATGAGACTTCAGTTACAGGCTGATTCAAAAAAAATAATTCAATTAAGGGGCCATTGGCTCCTATAAGAAACAGAATGCCACAGAATAAATGTGTTATATTTATTTATTTATTTATTTATTTAAACACTAGCATTAAGTCATACTGTCATGTGTTTATGTCTCATCTTTTCTTGTCTTTATTAGCATTTTAATCCATTTTCTAAACGTCTTTTCCAAATTGAGAACTATATACAGTCACAAAGAATTGTTTATTCCACAGAATCTGTGCCAACATCAGGCCCATAATGTCAGCAGCACTTGGCCTATGAGTGTAGTTTTGGCTCCTTGTCAATGCATCCTATAAATATTGTCATAGTCTTGCACACATCCAGTCTGTTTATCTTCATTAGTATCATGCATTTAAATAGGAGGTGCTGAATTTTATCTTTAGCTCCTTGCATTCTTTCTTATGTAGAGAACAGGTTAAGTAAAATATGAATATGCAATATAGCGCATATATTTAGCAAAATGCTCCTCTTTGTAGGTTTTTTTTGCACAACTGACTGTTATTCCACTAAAACTTTGATGCACATCGTCTCAGTTTATTACATTAAACTAACAAAAGATGTGGTCGCAAAAACAATCTGGAAAAAAGGCATTACATGCAATTTTTTAAATCATAATGTAAATTTGTATAGTTGGCAGTGGCGATCTCAGCAAAAATATCACACGCAAATTAATATTTTTGGTCGCAAATGCAACTGTTTTAGGTGCATTCTGGAGCCCTGATTCATCAGCTTTATCTCAGATGTGTCTCTTAAAATAGAAGTAAAGCAGACCCAAATGAAACACTTCTTGATATGGAGTTATAAGGAACACTTTACAGTAAGGTTCCATTTGTTAATATTAGTTAAATATGCTAGAATGAACTAACAATGAACAAAGCTTCAAGTACTGCATTTAATATTGAACGTTGTATCTGTTATTATTAGTCAATGCACTTTAAACTAACATGAACAAACATTGAACAATTGTTTTTACTAATATGGATAAAGATTAATAAATTCTGTAATATATATATATATATATATATATATGAGCAATGTGAGCATATGAATTATTGTAATATAATGTATATTACATTAAGCACTAATGAATGAGATCTAATAGTAGGTTATGGATACGAGCATATCTCACATAATTTGGTCTTGAGACACTGTGATGATAAATGTTTGAGATGTGATACTGAAATCCCAGACTATTGGTTGCAGAAGCAGAAGTCTTTTCGTAAAGTTGTTGAAATCTCGAATAAATATACACATTTGGGATGACTGGGGTCTTCTTTTCTAAGCAGCAGAAGACTTGAGCAAAATTCCCCTTATGTTCTTCTATTAATCACATTGCTTTAATATTGGCATATTAAAGAGATCTCATTTGTGATTTTCCTTTTCTTGTTGGGCATTTCCAAAAAGCCCTCTCCTTATTCAGAACTCCAAACTTTAGAAAACAATTCTTGATGTTTCTTTGTAAGTTGTTCAGATCAGCATATGGGTTCTAGATTTGTTTAGGTTCTTCTATGGCTTTAAGCTGTAAAACCCTATTTGGAACCTTTATTTTAAGAATGCATGGGGGGAAACAAGATAAATTAGGCAGCGTAAATGTGTACGTGTTTTGAAAGAAGTGCAAACTGGGACCAACTAATAAGTGCATCTCAAAGCTTCTAGTATGCACGTAGATTGTTTATACAGATGTTGATGGAAACCCATAGTGCCGTGGGTTTTCTCTTTCTTTTTTCCCTCTCTGTAGCCTTTTGCACTCGTTCTCAATATCTCTCTTTCTTTTCCTCCCTTTTTTCTTCTATGTCATTTGGCAGCTGTTTTCACAGTGCAATGTGCTGGAAAGCAAGTCTTTGATATGAAGCCTTGTGTGTGTGTGCGAGTCTCTCTGAAATATGATCTTGATTTGCCCTTTTCCCAGCATTCATCTGTGTTTTTTTGTGTATATGTTTATGTGCATTTTTGTTTGTTTTTTTCTTCCATGACACTGATTGGATGCACTTTTATGGCATGGGCAGAGAGATGTGCAGTTATGAGCAGCAGTTAACTCCGATTTGACTATACATGTTCCTCCCTGTTTCTGCAGCTAAATAAATGTCCTTTAATCTAACCAGTCCGCCTGTTTGGGAGCACAAGCGTCTCCCTCGCTTTCTCTCGCGCTCAGCGGGATGTGCTTCACAGAACTGCTCTCTATTTTTGATTTGCACAGTTGGATTATTCAGCAGGTCATATTTACTCCTGTTCTGTGTGGTTTGTTTAACATTTTATTTTCAGCTGCTAAAACTGTCAATCAGTGTCTGTGTTGTATTTAGTTGTTGATTCTTGATGCTTTCTTTGGCATTTCTGTTGAATGATATTGAGTTAATGTGACTCACACACACTGTTAATTCACAAACTAACTGTCTGTTTCTCTGTTTTGCAGGTAGGAACCTCATCTGAATGTGACAAGCACCTCTTCCTGCAGAGATACAGGTATATTTGTGTGTGTGTGTGTATGAAAGAAGAGTGTGATGTGTTTTTCTCAGATGGGTAATTAAAGCCTCCTGAAAATGACATGCCAAGAATTCTTCATTTTTCCCTCACATTCCTGCTTTTTTGCCCCTCGTAAAGCCTCCAGTGGATTTGAGGGTGTGTGTGTTGTGATTATAGCTGTTGTGTCCAGACGCCAAACTCTGTCTGTTCTGAGTGCTGCAGAATTCATTTCTTTAAGTGAATTTAGGAGTGGAAAAGAACTGAGCTATAAATGTGTGTTTCATTCTGTTTAGTGTGTGTGTGTGTGTGTATTCTGGCTGCAGCTTTCTGTGGATGGATTCTGTCCTCTCTGAAGTGTCAGTTGCTGCAATAATATTCCGTAACGCACATTCCAGGGAACAATAGCGGGAACAATTTTCCAAACAATGGAGCTTTGAAAGGTTTTATTTTATAGAATGTGAATTACATTATTGTTGTGAAACAAATAGTTCACACAGAACGAAAATTGTCATCACCATGTGCCTTTATGCCATTATTTTATTCTTCAGCGCAAAATCAAATGTTAAAGCGGGATACCAGAGCTGCTCTTTTTATATAAGGAAAGTGGTGGTGATTTATACTGCCAACCTTTAAAAAGACAAAAATACTATAAAAGTACCATAAAAGTATTCAACGTGGCTCATATGCTGTGCTCCGAGTCTTCGGAAGCCTTTCAATAGCTTTGTCTGAGAATCAAACAGAAATTTTAAATGTTATTACTTGAAAAGCACTTTTAAAACGTTAGTTCACCCAAGAATGTAAATGATATTATCTTTCCAAAACGTAAGACTTGAGTTCATCTTCGGAAATGAAATGAGGATATTTTAAATAGTCTCTCAATATTTTCGTTCATCCATTAAAGGGATAGTTCACCCAAAAATGAAAAGTCTGTCATTAATTACTCACCCTCATGTCGTTTCAAACCCGTAAGACCTTCGTTCATCTTCGGAACACAAATTAAGATATTTTTGATGGAATCTGAGAGCTGTCTGACCCTCCCATAGACAGCAACGCAACTGAAATGTTCCCAAGTCCAGAGACGTAGCAAGGAGATCTGTAAAATAATCCATGTGACATCAGTGGTTCAATCGCATTTATACGAAGTTACGAGAATACTTTGTGTGTGCAAACGAAAAAAAAAAAACGACTTTATTCAACAATTCGTCTCCTCCGCATCACCCTGGTGCCATTTTGGAGAATATCCGCTGGACGTAAACAACTTATGCTGTTCTGTGTCAGCTGCGTCACACGGATACGCTGTTTTCGTTCAGATCAACGATGCAACTGAAAGTGTCATGCATCAAAAAGTACAAAAATACATTGTGTAAGCTCTGTGTATGCGTGTTGATCAATGTGGGTATATGCATAATAGCCTAAATTAAATCTGTTAATCATATAAAGCAGCCATGTCTCGTCAGAAGACTTGGATTAAACTGGTCAGTTCATATGTCTTTTTGTACTTTTTGATGCATAAAATTTTAGGTTGTGTAGACTTTTAATGGATTTTAATGGATTGATAAAATAGATAGACGATCTCAGGGAGGTTAGCCACCAGTCGGACATCTCTAATTAAAGCTCACCACACTGTCACACACACTGAACTGCTCTACTTCTGTTTGTTTCTGGTCTAGTTTATGCATGGATACAAAATGGCAAACTGAATCAAAATCTCAGTGCTTATCTTGTCTGCCATACACTTTTTTTTCTCCCATCCTAAATCAAACCCTCTTGTCATTTTTACAGCTGAGTTATATAAAATATCTTAATATTTAAACTTTTTGTCAATATTCTATATATATCATATTTATGTATTTTCTCTGAAATGACTTAAGGTCATTTTTTCAGTCAGTGTGTGTGTGTGTGTGTGTGTGTGTATTAACTGACATTTAAATGAGAGATGCTCAAGCTATTAAAACATTTATCTTATCACTCATACATGTCAATGATACAGGGAAGGATCATGAAGCCAGTCTAATGAAATACTCTTTAGGAAACTTAATGGCTAAATAAAAAGTGTTAAAATCATTTAGGATGCTGCTTAATTTTACATTGTTAGTGAAACCATCACAAATACTTGATATATGACATAGCCCTAGTTATTTTTGGTTGTAATATTTAGACATCAATACCCTTTGATCTGTGCAGTGAAAAATGATTTCATTCTCATTCACGACGGTTAGGTGATTCCCCTTGAGATTGAGTGTGTGTTTCTGTTTGTGCCCCCACCCTGACACTTATTTTTGTCATTGCGCTCCAGATGCATATTTCCACCCCATGCTGTTTTCACACACAGCAGGAGATGTCCCAGAAGATCCACACACACACTCACACATCACTAACCTTAGCTGAAGGATGGACGTAATGAAAAAACATTAAGTAAAAATGTCCACATGCTGTCTATTTTCTAATCATAATTTTTATTGTGTTCAGAACAGATTTCTTGAGTGCTTCCATGGTGATATACTCCGCTTGTGCTGATTGGCCGGAATCTTGATGATGCGCTGATTCTACACCATGGCCCAGGAGGCTCTGTGGAAATACCCACAATCCTCAGCTCCCTGGTGAGTATGACTGCCTGCTCGAATGGAACATGTTTACCTTTGTTTTTATACAGATATGATGCATTGTGCTTTACAAAACTCAAATTAAAGCTATAAATTAGCAATTGTGAATTAATACACAACAGCTAGAGCTTATATTGAATTCATAATATTTGCATTTGCATGCATGTGTTTGTGGATGGTCCTCTATGCTCCAGACGATAAAAGAAGATGATTTAATTCTTTTTTTTGTTGCAGATTTACATTGGCAGTGTCTCCGGCTCAACGAGAAAACCTGTGCAAGGTCAGACAGCCCTCTAACAAGTCAGGATATGATTTGTGCAGAGCACCACACTAAAAAAATCTACTAGGGAGCCAATGGCTATTAAAAATAACCTTATAGGAGACTGACTGCTTTTTCAGTTGCCATTTTGCATATCCGCTCTATAAATGATTTAATATTAATAATATGTTTTTAGGATACCATTTAGTATTTTTTTAACACTTTACAATGAGGTTTGATTCGTTAACATTACTTAAAGCATTAACTGACATGAACTAATGAGCAAAGTTAGTTCACAGAGCATTAAATAATGTTAACAGATACAACTTTTGATCTTAAAAATGTATTAGTTAATTAACTAAGATTAATAAATGCGGTAATTGTTAGTATTTTTCATGGCTAAATCATGTTAACTAATGTAGTTAACTAATGTTAACAAATGAAATCTTATTGTAAAGTGTTACCATTATTTTATTACAGTAAAACTCTTTTGTGAATCTGTATATTTAATTACGTTAAGTTGTTATATTAACAAGTTAGTATATTGATATAAAGTCTGACAAACCTAAAGTACACATTCTCAGTTCTCAGTTAATTTAATATCAGACATAGCTGAAAAATCACTTGCAGTTCTGTGAGGAAATCAGTTATTCAGTAGCAGCTCTAAATTCACTGGATGAGTATGATGCCTGACTCATCACAAGATGTTATTTGATTAAATTAATGTGGAGGCATATAGAGTGTTCCCTACTGTTGCCAATGGTGACTAGATTTTAAATAATAAATACATCTCAAATTATTTATTTTTTTGTCACAGTCTGGAGGCCGGTTTGTGTCCATCTGTCTTTATGTAATATGTTGGGTTACTGTGTGATTGGTTACATCCTCTTTCCTAGTGCATGTAGTGTCTCTATGAATCACTCTTTGAGCGTTAGCAAAAATCAGCTCATCTTTTAGCATGAACCTGATTTAATTTTCCACCCAATCGCATCATAGTATGCAGCACTGGGTTGTAAATCAGCTATAATCGCATTCAATTCCGCCAGATTAAGTTGATTTAAAATGTGGTAATTCGGTTTGGTAGCACAGAAGCAGCACAGTCTGCAGAGCAGCTTGAGTAAAGACAAATAAGCTTTTCATGAACGTCATTGCAGATTCTGTCCTAGTGCCGATCTATCTGCAGTTTTATCATCTTTTTATGTTCCTTCACATTTAATAAATTAAATTATGGGTGAGCCACATGTTGATGTTGATTCACATTACTTAAATTGGTTTCTTTGACCCCTTTTACACGTCCTGACCAACCGCGACAAGCCACCTACTCATCTGTCAATCAAAATCTGGAAAAAAGCAAGGGCTTTAAACTTTGATAAAAATGCAGCTTTAGTTCGGTAAATAGAGGTGCTCAACCAAAAATGACTGAGTTCAGCTTAGATTAAAAACTAAGAAATATATTGGAAATATTTGTTCAATTTTTGAACTTTTTACATTTTTGCACTTCTCTCTGATGTGGAATGCACTGTTTTTATGTGTGATTTTTGACTGCTTTTTCCCTTTTCCTCACTTTAGCCATGATGTCAGTCTGCGTGCCCTCACCACGTAACTCATCCCCCTCTGTGGATGTAGCTAATTGCAACGGACCCTCTTCAACTCCGCCCACATCCCTCAGCCTGCATTCCTCACACAATCAACTGCTTAGTGGTGATGTCATCAAACAGGGCCAGGCCACGCCCCCGAAGTGCCGGAAGAAATATGCACTCACGAGCATTCAGAGTGCGATGGGACTCTCCGAAGGTGTGACGCCACCGTCGTCATCTTCAGCGACTACTAAACTGGCCAAAAATGGTGTGAATCAGTTACGTAAAGCTGCGGAGCGACAGGATCACAACAAGAACACTACCGAAGAAGACGAAGATGGAAACACAGCTGGCGAATCAGAGCTCAGCATCGACGATGAGTTGAGGAATGTTGAAGAATTCAGCCTCGACAGAGAGTCTAACGCTGACGACGTTCACAGTGACTTTGACCAGAACAACGAGCTTGTTGACGAGGAAGTAAATGAGTTAATTGATGATGACGCTAATGAGGAGGATCGCGCGGAGAATTGTGACGACCTGCTCATTCTGTCCGAGAAAACGGAGATTGTTTCAGACAGGAAGTCGCCCGAGCATATTAAGACCAAGAGTTACCTGGAGTCATGCCTGGATGACCTGTCATACAAACTGTCTGACACGCAGGATGAGAATGTCACTAAGCCTTTGCTGGAGAAAGAGAAGAATCCCTGTTCCTCGTCTCCAAGGAAACCGCACAGCCCTGAGGACACGCCCCTCCTGTCTATCGGCTCTTCATCTTCCTCTTCCTCACCGGAGACGAAAAAAGACAGACCACGGACGGGAGCCAAGACAGACCGTGCACTAAACCGCATCCAGAACCTTCCACACAGTGACGAGGAGTCCAGCTGGACCACGTTGTCACAGGACAGTGCATCCCTGGGCTCACCAGAAGAGAGCGGTCAGTAGTACACATTTGAAGCCTTACGATGTGTATGTGTGTAGCTTGCAGGTCTGCTCAGTGTGGTTTCGTGTGTGTGCTTTGGCCCTGTGTAGTGGATATGGTGCGCTCATGTGGTATGTGTGGTTTTCAGTTTGCCTGAAGTGCTTTGGCAGAAAGGTGTTTGTGTGTTTAGACTTTTCATTTCACTGAAGTGTGATCTAGGTAAACGCAGCACAGTGTGTGTCTGGTTTGAGGCTGTGGAGGAAAGCTTATCAAAAGCGTGTTTACTACTGTGTTTATTTATGTGTACCTTTTTTTTTGTGTAAAAATTGTTAACTGAAAATGTTTTTGAAGCAGTATAATTCAAAAATTCAAATTTTGTCATCATTTATTCTCTCTGATGTTATTCCAAATCCTGTAAGATGTGAACCACAAAATAAGAAGTCGTACAGAATGTCCATGCTGCTCTTTTCCATATAATGAAAGTGGACAGTGACCAGGAGCTATAAAGCTCAAAAAAGTACAAAAAAAGATTTGTAACGTCTGAGAGTTTGAGAGTTGCAGTGAGTGATTTTCAGTGATTAATGACTTAAAGGCTTAGGCTACGTCCACACGAAGCCAGAGCTTTCCCTATCTGATCTTTTTTTTCACCTCGTCTCTAGAAATATCTGCGTCCACACGAAACCGTCACAAAACGATGTAGTATACATGCCAGACCAGCATGTGGCGCTGTAATTCTGCCACAGAGATACACTAAAAACGGAGAAGAAGACTTGGACTATGTGCATAAACCTTGCGTGCGGTATACAAACGAACATGGAACAATACATTTATTAATCTGTGTTAATGTTAGTTAATAAAAAGACAATCGTTCAGTGTTTGTTCATGTTTTTGTTGCTGTTACGTGACGTAGCGGTGTCTGACTAGGGGCGAGACGTGGGCTGATGACGTCATCGTTTCAGAAAATATACGGATTCGCTGTCCACATGAAAACGCAAGGGCGGCGTTTTCAGATTTATCCACTCTGGATAAATTTATCCAAATCCAAATTTATAGATTTATCCACTCTTTCACTCTCCCAAAACGCCGGATCCGTCTGGACGAAACGCCTATACGATACAAAATTTATGCGTATACAGCTAAACGCGTCTCCGTGTGGACGGGGCCTCAGTTCACTCATTTACTAACCCTCATGTTGTTCCAAATACATAAAACACAAACTGTAAGACCCTCCACTGAAAGTCCATGCAACCAAAATTTCGAAGCATCAAAAAGTTCATAAAGACATCGTAAAAACAATCCATATGCATAGAATGGTTTAATCCATAAAAGTTTATATAACAGTTTTAATTTGACATATAAACATTGATCAACTCAAATACATAGAGCACATCAAAGATGAGAAGCAGAAGCTCAAACATTCTTACTTGATGAAGATATTAAAAGTCTTTTGGGTTTGGAATGACATGAGGGTGAGTAAATGATGACAGAATTTTCATTTGTTGGGTGAACTAACCCTTTAAATGTATCTGTTCCTCACACAAATTTATTGCAAGACTAGGGCTGCGTCCAAAATCGAATACTCTCTTCTTTTGAATAAGTATGAATGAGGCCACGAGCGCACTTTGTAATCTCAGTGGAAGTAGTACAACATCAAGGTACTTTCCCCTGTTTTGTGATTACTTTGAATTTGGACATACTACACTTTTCACATACAGTTTTCGCCTACTGTATAGTAAGGAAGTAGCCATATTTGAATGCTGGGTGGGACTATAGCTCACAATTCATATGAACTATTTGTATGGTGCTTTTTGTCTTTTTTGAAGTTTGACAGGCACTGGTTACTGGTAAGTGTCTGATTTCAGTTGGATTAAAACATAATGAAATTTTTTTTTGACTAAATGGACTGACAGACCTAGATAATGCAACTGTAGCTTTGTGTCATCCAACATGTTAATCGCAAGTTAATTGCACTACAGGTGGCAGGGGTGTAGCGTGACGTATTTTATCTGTAAAATATTAAATTACACATTGTCATGTATGCTTAGACAGACAGAAGAAGACTGCAATTTGACTATGCAGCTATTGTTATTATAATTGTGCATCGAAATGTGCTTAGTGTCTACTTTTACTGTATAAAAGGAAAAGGAAAAGAGCAGCATCAACATTCATCAAAATATCTCCTTTTGTGTTCTACAGAAGAAAAATTACACAGGTTTGGAATGACATGAGAGTGTGTAAATAGTTTTTATTTTGGGGTGAATAGTCACTTTTGGTACATGCAACCCAAGTTTATAACAAGGATAAATGGTGCTGAATGTCTCCTCAGTCACTCAGACTGTCACTCAAACCATTCTACCATTGACACACTGTCTGTCAAAATCTCTCTCATTGTAGACAGGAAAACCTCACAGGTGTGTGGCAGGTCTGTTCGGCCAGCATGGTGGGTAATGGACAGCTGCGACCTGGTTTTACACCCAGATGTTAGCTGGCATCACCGCAGCAGACTGTTATGTGCACTAATTCTTGCACATCCATCCCTCTCCCACGGTTTCTGTATCTTGTCATACCAAGGTCACGTGACCACACGTCGGGTGACACTGCAGGAAAAATGATCTCAGGGTTGCCGGGGTGATGATCGTTGGGCGAGGGAGGTATGTTTGCGTGGCCGTGTGACCAATCAGGTGTCCCGGATGGACAGGAAGCTGATATCTCTCTTCCTGCAAGATTTGGATAAAAAATAAACAGCAAATAAACAGAGTCTGTTGCTCTCGCATGCTCACCCACCCCGTCTCTCCCTCTCCCTTTCTCCATCAGTCGCTCGCCCCCTCTGTCTCTCTCCAGCTCTACCTCTGCTTTCCTCTCTCTTCTCATGACATCCTCTCTGCTTGCGGCTGCTCAGTCATGATGCTGGGTAAAGACTACATGTTGGCCATTGTTATAGTGAATTACGAGGGTAGGTACTGCGCGTCGGTGTGTCTGTGTGGCTGTGAGTCAGTGCTGCGCATGTAGCTACGCGTCTCTGTTGCGTGTGCATGCTCATAAATGCAGGCGGAGAAGAGAGATTAGGAAGGAGAGAGGATGCAGTGAAGGGTGTCACGAGCTGTGTGCTGAATACTGAAGTTTGTGCATATGTTCATGGCACTTCGGTTCGCGTGTGTGCGTGAATTTTTCAGCTGTCCTCCCCTCCCCCTCTGCCCGCCACATGCTTTATAGACTGCAGAAAGAGAAAGACGTTATCAAAAGTGGGTCGAATGTTAGATCTAGCGTGGAAAACTAGGCTGAGGATAGTTACTACATGCTAGCACGCTGTCTACCTGTGCGTTAAAAAATGAACAATGTTATTTTTGCTAAAAAATCGACACAGTTATTAAACATAAACCTGATTGTTGTCTCTATTTCTTCATACTCTATTTCTGTATGAAGGTTTCATTGTCTCGGAGAACTGCGATGAGGTTTTCAGGTAGCTGTAATGACCCACTTATATATCAGGGACTACAAGTCCCATAATGCACCTCAGCATAATACCCAGTATTTAAAGTCCGCATGAACTGGAAGTTGCTGCCGACTTTATTTCAGCGTAGTGACGTACTTCCAACTGAAACGGAATATTGAATATAGGGCGGGGTTTTATTTTAGTGCTCCTCCTCTCTGTCTCTAACTCATAAGTGTGGTTAAGGATATTTTTCCCAAGCTGTCAAACTGACGCCATCAGAGAAGGACTGCCATTCTAGAGCGGAAGCAATTGTTCAGAATTTGATTAAAGATTACCAAGACAAACAATTTTTTTTTTCAGTGGATTAACTTGCACAGATTAATTGTTCACCTCAAGACTAACAATGTGCACTAAGTAAATAAAGTCAATTTTGATTTCATGAGGACTTTAAAAATAAACTACGTCTCCTGTACTGCAGTGCTTCATCGAGAGAATTTGGGTAGAGGAGATATCTCTAATAAGCACTTGTGTTCACTTAGCATGCTGGGAGATTTGATTAGTGTACATGACTAGTGCTGGCTAATTGCTGTTTCACTTAGTTAGTCAGTTCTGTTGGCTAATTATTAAGTCTCACTAAAGTGAGTTGTGCCTTGAAGCAACAGTAAGGCTACTCAACTCGTGCTTTCTGCCTGAACAAGTTACTCACACTGTTGTTATAGTTAGCTAAAAATAAATTCATAAAAACATTTCTGTCATGACAACTCTTAGAGGGATTGGCATGGTAATGTACATGACAATGTTAATGTATTTGGTCTTGGCGGAATAGATCTGCTACACTGCTGCTGCGGCAGAGCAAGTACCGAGACTTGCTACTGCCAATACAACAAGCATGTAAGAAATATTGCTGCTGCAAATATAACATACATGAAATAACCATGTGAACCGCATGTATGCATTAATTGATAAGGTGGAAAAGCAGCATTGATTTGGTGTCAGAGTTGCGGATCTGAAGTTGTCATTAGGTCAGATTGAGTTAGACCTATCAGACTGCGCCATCTAGAGTTTCATGCCGGAACTCTGTATTTGTTACTTTAAAGAAAATGAATATTAACTGAAATAAAATATAAAAAAGCTAAACTTTTTAAATTTCAGCTAGTTGCCAAGGTTCATTTAGTTGAACTAAAATAACAAACTAAAACTGTTTAATAAAACTATATAATAAAACTATAAAGGCATTTTAAAAAAATGAAAAAAAACACACACAGTTACTAAAACGGAAATGGGGAAAAACACATTAAAAGTATTAATAAAGACTAGTATCTCAATTAAAAAAAACACTTGTTACTTGCTCATATAATTTGGTGATTTTAAAGAAATTTTCATTTTACACGTTTTTATTTGTTTTATATACCTTGTAAATGAAAACTGTTGTCAATAGTGTAGCGATTTATGAAGCACCGCTCACATAAGTCACTTTCAAACCAATGCGTCAATGCGACGAATTTGCGTGATCAACTTGATCCTGAAATCTACATGTGGATTCCTACTGAAATGACTGGATTTCGCCTGCAAAAATTCGATGAATAACAGTAAATCTGACTGCACCCTTGGTGATTAAACAGCATAATTTGAAAGTTTTTCACTTGAATCCTTTTACCGTGTTTTATCCAGACAGGTTTCCAGCCACAAGTTACTTTTATATTGACACTGAAAGTGAATTTCCAGCCAATATTTGTGCTATGTGGAGCAGGATTTTAGACCAATGAGATTTCATTGTGGGTGGGGCTACACAGAGTGATTCCCAGACATACTCCAACCACAATGTTTGCTCTGTCCTTTGACCTTTGTGACCTTCAACAAGTCAACAAATGAGGAACAACTGTCTTGGTACCTAGTATTACACTTAACACTTTCCGGCATTGTTTTTAATAACTTTTTGAATCTAATAGTTCCTTGGCTTCCGTGACATGATGGGATACAAAGTATGGCTGTATACTTAAGAATCTTAGCAGATGCAATACTGAGTATTCAGACATCCGTCTCATTTGACATACAGCTTATTGCATACTGTGTAGTTGGGGATATAAAGAGAATGAGTAGGAAAGTCTATAAACCAACAGTATATTAACTTAGAATATGGAAGAGATTTTATCATTTGTGTCCCAGCTAGTTATTACACGGTGTCAGTTAATTTTTTCTTCAGTTGTTAGTTATTCATTTTGTGGAGTGTCATGTAGATTGACACAAGGTCTTTTGAGAATCTCTTTAGAGTTTTTTTAAACACGTATTACTGTGTGTATATGTGTGGTTTTCCTCACCCAGATTGCATTATGTGAATAATGCTCTTACTAACATCTGAAACATGAAACAAACATTCCCAGCTGCTGAGTGAGGACAGACAGAACAGTAGCGAGTTCACATGAGAGAGACAGAGATTTTACAGTATGATAGTCTTCCAGTTTAAAAAAAAAAACACCTATTTAATGTATTACAGGGCACTCATATCTCACAGAAACACTCCTTGAAGTGTTTGAAGTGACTCCTTATCTAGACTTCAGCAGTTTTAATGATTTGGTTGCCGCTTGAAATGTCCATATGTTGGGAGACTGGCTGGGCAAATGTAGCAATGTTTCAACTTCAATGTGGCTCATCTGATCAGAATTTAGAGCCAAAACGATCTATATAATATTAGATTTATAGACTTATCACTACCGCTCACATGCTCTGGTCTGGAATGCTATGAACTAGGGCTGTCACAATATCAGATTTTAACTATATAATTATTGTGGCCAAAAGAATTCACAATAACAATACTATCTATATAAATATTGAGGAAAAAATAATGCTATCAGTCAAATTCATCTTTAACTTTATTTTATGTTTTCTCTTTCTGGCCAAAATATCACATTCAAAATATGAGTGTAAGGAGACAGAGAAAGAGTTTGTAACCATGACTGTACAAAAGCGTACAAAAAGTACTTACTGTTGATCGATACTTCCTAAAGACTGAGGTGTCTATAGGCTGCGTTCACACTGCAGGCAAATGTGGCCCATATCCGATTTTATTTGCTCACATGTGTCTCGGATCTGTTTTTCTTATGACAGTGTGAACAGTACAAACCCCATGGAATTTGATGTTTTCAATTCCGATTTGTGCCACTTCCATATGTGGTACTAAGGCTACGTTCACACTGGGAGCTTTAATGCTTTAATGCTTTAAAACTTTAATTTTCAATTCTGATTTTTGCTCAGATCCGATTTACCCCCAGATCGCGTTAGTGGGATCGCTTTAACCCACGGAGTTGAAAAACAACCCCCGCAAGTTGTTTTTAGATGAAAAAGTAGCCACATTTCACAGGAAAACTTTGGACTTGGCAACACTTGCGCAGCGCATTGTCATACGGAGGACATAAAGTAAGCGATTATGCGTTTATTTATAGTGTGATCTGCTGCAAAAGCCATCGAAATTATGCGCAGGCAATATGAAAAATAAAGACAAGGATGTGACAGAAGAGAGCATTGAAACTTTTATGATACGAGCCCTCATGTTTTGCTTGTATATAGAGTTGTCACTGCAATACTTATGAGTTCTGACACATCACTGTACTTCCACTGACTACCTTTTGCAACTGTCTTGATTTGGGTGTGTAAAATCTTTGAAGTGACTCCCATGAGCGCAGAATCGTGACGAAGGTTGATCTAGAGTGACGTAAAAGTCACATGAATTCTGATATGGCTGTTCACACTGCGGTCGCATTACAAAACATCTGACCTGTATCGGATTTAGTACCACATATGGAAGTGGCACAAATCGGAATTGAAAAGATCAGATTTCATGTGGTTTGTGCTGTTCACACTGTCATGAGAAAAACAGATCTGAGTCACATGTGAGCAAAAAAAATCACATTTGCCTGCAGTGTGAACGTAGCCTAAATCTCTAAATCTGATACAGGTCAGATGTTTTGCAATGCGACTGCAGTCTGAACAGTCATATCACAATTCATGTGACTTTTACGTCACTCTAGATCAGGGGTGTCAAACTCAAATCCTGGAGGGCCGGAGCCCTGCACAGTTTAGATTCAACCCTAATTAAACACACCTGATCCAACTAATCAAGGCCTTCAGGCTTATTTGAAAACTACATGGTAGGGCTAGTATAGCTAAAAAATGTATCAACGATATAATGTTTCATATCGTTCGGTATCGATAATTATTGACCAGTACCAATATATGTACGCCGTCATTTTTGCTCATAAAGATAAAGAGTAATACATAATTCGAAACTGTAAAAGGTCTACTTTTGTATACACTTACAATATCAGCAAAACATTGTGCTTTTGTAAAATAAAGAATATAAACATATAAAGAAAATAAACAGGATGTGCTTTCTGCCGTCTCGGTCTTTGTGAACTGGAGCGTGTCACAAAAATGAACCGAAACTGAGTGTATAGGCTACTATGTGAGAAATAGATATAAAGAACAAATTCAAATCAAAAACAAAAACTCTGATGATTATGTAATCCGTATGAAAGCTGCATTTCTCTCTGAAGCCCCGTCCACTGTACTCAGATGGCAAGTGAGCATCGTCAACTTCATCTGCAGCCGACACTGAGTCAGAAAACACTAGTTTATTAATAAATAATTAAAATGTCTCCTCGATATTTCCGACACATTCATTGTCATTACTTTTGACGGTGCTTTGCTGCAAGCTTTATGCGTGAGCTTGAGAGCGGAATAGGCTATATATTTATATATATTTAAGTAATTAAATTAATATAAACATGCGATTAGTCAACTAGAAAAATATTTAGTCGGGGGCAGCCCTAGTTGTTAAACTATACATCAACACTCTTGGAACGCTGTTCAGATTCAGGTTAGAGTACCAGAATTGTTGTATGCTGATACATACCGTGTTTTAAAATTACTCATGCCGTCATACAAGGTTTTGGTCATAACACCCACTCATAGGAGTCTTGGATATCTTAGTTGATGGGTGTGTGGACCACGCCTGACCTTGTGTATTTGTGTTTCCAGATATCTGGGGGGAGCAGTCATTTCAGACAGACCCTGATTTGCCTCCAGGATGGAAGATGATGACAGACATGGCTGGCATTTATTACTGGCACATTCCTACGGGCACCACGCAGTGGGAGAGACCCGCCCCATGCCATCCGGTGCCAACTGGACCCAGCCATGCCAGCCGCAAACACTCCCTGGGCTCCCTGTCACCCTCGCCCACTCCAGATCACGAGGTAACCCTTTGAAACCATGTGGTTACGCTAACTGGACATGGTACTCAACTAAAACAAATCAACAGTTGATTTATCCACATTGACCAATCATTTGCTCGGTACCTCTTTGTTGTCCTCTAGTCGATGTCTCACGCCCACGTGTTTTTCGAAGCATCGAGTCGTTCAGGCAGCACCACTTCTGACAGCTCGTCTGACCCCGCCCCCATCCCGTCTTCTTCATGTCTGGAACCAGCCCCTATCCTGTCCTCAAACTCTTCCTCATCCTCTGACGGCAATGTTCCTTCCTGTGGATTCGTCAACAGCTGCTACTTTGTAAGTCTTTTCATCAATGTCTCATCTTACAGTACGGACAATACTTTATGGTCACATCCTGCCATTCTCTGGGTGTATAGCTTTCACAATGAGTACAATTTGGTTGTGGAGAATAAAGTGGATAAGACACAAACTTATAGTTCATAAAAGCATGAAAATCCAGGGTAACGCCATTACAGATGTGACAGTATTTCAGTTGCCATGAATTAAACAGAGATGGTCAAATGCTTTATATAGTTAAAGGTTGCTATGACTGTATTTGGGAAATTAATGTTCGCCCACCAGTAACAGTGACTGGTGAATGGTGAAATTTATCAGCCATTTAGATTTTTTTATCAGCTATTTTTTCAAATCAGATGTATGAAAGACCTTACTAGATGAATGAAACTGAATGAACATGCATATCAGTAAAGAGTCTAGAGTCTTTTAAATTGCTCCTGGCCTTAACATTGGGCTTGAATCTCTTTTTGGTCCTTTGAGTCTTAGTGTGCTTTACAGTTTTGCTGTTTGCTGCAGCATGAAACGAAGCAAGGTTGACAGCACTTCACACGGTTTTGTTTGTTTTAAAATGGCAATGTGCTACTGAATAACTGAACAAAAGAAGACATGCATCTTGCCAGATTTAGTTTTGTCTGTTCTTTTCAGTTGACTTCTTAAATCAAAACTAAATCTTAACTAGGTTAGTAACATGACTTATTTGATTTTTTTTGTGTCCACAAAAAAAAGAAACTAATCAATTGAGAAGAATTTTATTTTTTTGTCACTTGCAATCAATTGGAATATCCATAATAATATATATAATAATAATATTTACAGTCACTTTGATCAATTTAATGCATCCTTGCTGAATAAAAGTAATAGTTTCTTTTCAAAAAATCTTACTGACACCAAATTTTTGAACTGTAGTATAAATTGTATTGACAAATATAAATATATTGTGATATTTAGTTAGAAGTTGGTTACACATAATAAAGCTAAAACTATGTATCTATTTGTGTGTGTGTGTGTGTGTATAGCCTCGGTCCTCATCCCTACAGATAATGTCAGGGAAGGATAGACACTCTGAGGCACGCCATCGGGAAGAGGACAAGGTAACAGTAATGCTTGTTTACTCTCAGAATGTAGTGGAAAAACAGTTGTGCTTTCCTCTGATTCTTGCAACATAGAGTGAGATATCAACATCCATACTGCATCTAATAAAATCCCAACCATACACCCAACAGATACTGTACACACACACACACACATACACACACATGCTTATCGAGTGATCTAACAACCCTGTCTTGTCTCTCTCCACCCTCCCACCCTTGACCCCTCAACCTGGTCCTCCCTGTTTGTGTGTAAATAATGGTGAAGAAACAGCCATGGAGTGATTTTGCAGTGGGAAAGATTGATAGTGAGATCTGGAAGGTTAGTATCTCAGGCAGTTTTTTTATTGAACTGCAGAGCCAAATACACAGTAGAATGTCTCAGGCAACCACTGTCAACACTTGGTTATGTTCGTCACAGGGTTCAAAATGTATTTTTTGCCCATTGGCTGGCCCATATTTTGCAGATGTATTTTGCATTATTTTTAATAAAAATTCTGTGAAAAGTTGGTCTACCTGATGTTCTACTGGAGTAGTTGTGTTCTGAGATCCAGTACTGCTTCATACCTTCCTCACCTTTTGACCTTTAACCTTTCTACTGAGCATGGCTTTTGTGTTTTTTTGTCTGTCTGTACTGCAAAAATCATTTATCCAACTAAATTAATTTTTCTAACCTATATGCCAAATTTAAATTTTTTCTTGATTTAAGCATAAACCTCACTAAATTTAGTAAGTATTATGCTTAAAAAAAATCTATTGCCAAGGGGGTGAGAAAAAAAATTACTGAAAACTAGTCTTAATATATTATGCAATTTTTGCTTGTCATGGAAATTTATCTTGTTTTAAGTATATTTGGATATACACAACAAACCTTGCAGATGAGAATAAAGCATTGATAAATCAAATGCTTACACTATTTATTTATTAATTTATGCATTTAGATATTTTAATGCTGATTAAGAAAATGATTTTTGCAGCAGGAAAGCTCCTGTTCACTCTTCATTTCTTCTCATTGTCTTAATCCATTATTTTTGTAAAATGTGCAGGGTTCAAACTGTGTCTGTTTTAAAACTGGTTAATCATTTTCATTTCAATTAGTTTAATCACTCATCGCTGGAACTGTGCTTTCCTGTTTTGTTTGGCGTGATCTGCACATACACACAGGTCTTTGCACTTAACCCACTGGCTCCATGCTGTACATTTGTGGGTTTGCTATATGCTTGTGTTTAAGCACGTCTGCTTTATCTCTGCTTCAGGATCTACAGGCGGCCACAGTAAACCCTGACCCTAGTCTGAAAGAGTTCGAAGGCGCAACTCTCCGCTACGCCTCCCTCAAGCTACGGTGTGTGAAAGAGAATAAATAATAAATAAATACACCTAAATGAGAGAGAGAATAAATAAAATGTATATATCTCTTCTGACTGTGTGTGCATCTGTGTTTAGAAACCCTGCTCCTGTGGAAGAGGAAGATTCCAGCAGCATTAACAGTGACCCTGAAGCCAAGGTGAGAGTACATGAGTTTGTGCAGCTATTCAAAGATAACAGCTCTACAGAGAACTTATTATAGTCTTGAAGGCAGGATCCAAATTCATACTCGCCAAGCTCTAAAGCAATATGCTGTATAATGGAGTTGCACACTAATTGGCTAGTGTTTGTTTAGGAATTGCAACATTATATGGTTTAAGTCAGATTATAAGAATGATAGTCAAGGTCTTGTTGTAAGAGACAAAAATGAATCATATCAAAGACATATAAGCGTCTACTAAATAAAAGGTTGTTGCGACTGCTGTATCATGTAACACCTCTTACCTCAATGGAAACAGCAAATAATTCCATTCTCATATGGACAAAATATATATATATTTTTTGTTATTTTTTGCATTGAAATAATGCAAAATAGGCCGTTCAGTTTACCTGCCATTAGCAGATGTGAGAAAAGTATACATTTTGGGTCCTGTTAAAGAGTAAATAATGATTTTAACAAAATTTCTAATCTTGATCACCATAACATTATCATGTCCCCTAGTTCTGTGAGATTTTTTTTTTTTTTTTAAAGCATGACACATATATGGTTTTAACATGTACCAGGATTGACACAAACTATTTCAAACATAGTTTATTGCTGGAATTTAGTGGTGCAGTCAGGAGTTCCATCCTCCAATGTAATTCTAGATATACAGTGCCATCTTCTGGCTGCTCAAAGAAATGCATATGCACGACATGCTTGGAGATGTGGGTAAAGATGAAGATGGAAAAACAAATTTGTAGTTATTATTTCTGATGTATTTATCTAAGAGTGAGATATGTCCTTAATGCAGAGGAACCCTGATGTTAACATAAAACACTAAACAACACCCTCATAAATACATAGTCAAATGCATTTGTGCCACAAAACACAAAATGTGAAACAAATCAATACAAATCAGTTAATCCTTCAAATATTTGATTATGCAATGTGTCACATACACTACCATTTAAAAGTGTGAGGCCTGCAGATTTTTAAATGTTTTTGACATCTCTTATGCTCACCAAAAATTGCCTTTATTTGATCAAAAATACAATGAAACAGTAATATTGTGAAATATTGTTTGTGACCATTTAAAATACTTTTTTTCTATTTTAATATATTTTTTAAAAGATTAATTATTTCTGTGCTAGCAAAGCTGAATTTTCAGTATCATTACTCCAGTCTTTAGTGTCTCATGATCCTTTAGAAACATTGCTGATTTGCTGCTCAAGAAACATTTCTTATCATTCAATCAATGTTGAAATTTTTTTGTGGAAACCATGTTACATAAATGAATTTTTTTCATTATATGTTAAATGGAAAGTTTAAAGAACAGCATTTATTTGAAATAAAAATAATTTTGTGACATTATAAATGTCTTACTGTCACTTTTGGATTTAATATGCCCTTTCAGAATAAAAGTATTAATTTCTTTACAGTACATGCTTAATACAATACAGCATTATTGGTTTTTGGCTGAAAGAGAAAAAGGTCAAAGATATGAGCCAAAAATAAATGCCTAAATTGAAAATGTGACTTTACTTAAAAATGTGATCTGTCAAGCATAAAGCATAATAAATTGTCTTGTGTTGTATTTTGCTGAAAAGCTCTCAAATGAGGTAGAGACAAAATGCTGCTTTTTAAATTTGTAGCTTGACCAAACATTAGTAAACCATAGTACATCACATAGATTTATTTACTTATCGATTGACTGTTGCAGTTAGACTATGATGTATATCGCCTAATATATCAAATCAAAGTCACGTTTTTTAACGCTAAAATTACTGTTTATTTCTCAAACTTGATATGCAATGGAAATATAGCCTTAATTTATGTGTCTCATTTGACTGGGTGGACCAGTTGTCAGTCTATACTATATACTATAGAGGCAACAGACAGATGAATAATGTAGCTCTCTGCATCGCAACTGTGCAGGAACCCCACTGTAGCTCAAGTTTAACTTTTACTGGATTTCTAATTTCTGGCTATGAGTTGTCAGATGATATTCATCTGGCGTTTATGTTACCATTCAATATACACTTCCTCCCCCAAGTCATGCTCTTTCTCTCTCTCTCTCTCTCTCTCTCTCTCTCTCTATCCCTCTTTGCTTGTTTCACACTCTTCCTCTTGAGGATCTGTTCTTTCAGCAGCAGTTAAAGTCAAACTGAAAGAGCATGACAGCATTCTGCCTGCTATTAATCTCTCGCACACACAAACACTTTTATAATGGAGGCGCCCTGTCACAGATTGTCAGAAAAGAAGAGAGACAGAATGATGGATGATTTTGCTCTCAGAGTGCTGGGAGTGAGATACAGATGAGAAAGGAGGAGGTGAACAAGTGAAAGATGAAAGAAAAACTCTTCCAGTAAAAGGGGTCTTCTCTTTTGATCTCAGCACCCTGTTATAAGAGGTGTGTGTGTGTGTGTGTGTGTGTGTGTGTGTGTAAGTGATCATGTATGTGTATGAACACTCTCGCGCTTTCTATTCTTAGAAGATGCCATGTGAAAATTTTAAGAGGTGTTTCCTCAGTTTAATCTGTCTCACTATAGAGGAGTAGGAGGATTTAGGATATGAGGTATAATGAAATGGATGTAATAGACAAACACAATACTATATTACTGGGCTTGTTCTTGTGCGAGCTGTTATTATTATGTCTTAAGTCGTATATTTGCTGCACTCTTCATTTTCATAGTGTGTAGCTGTTGCCCTGTAGTTATTTGTTACAGTCTTTGTGCTTAATCAGTGGGTTTGTTTATTACAGTGTTTTGCTGTGCGCTCTCTCGGCTGGGTAGAGATGGCTGAGGAGGATTTGGCTCCGGGTAAAAGCAGCGTCGCTGTTAACAACTGCATCCGTCAACTGTCCTACTGCAAGAATGATATACGAGACACTGTGGGCATCTGGGGAGAGGTGAGAGACAGCTTCACCCTCTCTCTCACACACACACGCACACTAACAAGATTTACAAGAACCCATGCTGGTTGACCAGTTTTACACGGTTCTGCTGGTCAACCAGCTAGACCAGCACTATAGTCTAAACACAGGAAGGCACATATAGTACATATTCATGCAAAAATACACACAATGTTTCTAAACATCATCTTGAAAAAGGGAAGGCAGAAACGGGGATAAAACATAAAAGAGACAAAAAAGAATAAACCGAAAAGAGGGAAAGCTGAAAATGTCATGCAGAAAAAAGCAAGTGAATAGAAGAGGAAGAGGAAGAAAGAGAGTTTAATGTGTTGTGACAGGACACAGGAAGAGAGCCTCTGTTGACTGGTTCCAGAAGGCTTCTAAAAAACCTTTTCTCTGGTCAAATTCTAAGGCAGCATTGCATTTATCATTAATGGAAAAATTCTGTGAAAATGTGGAGCAGGAGAAATGTTAGTTAAAATATTTTATTCAATACTCAAACGCATCAATAATTTGACAATCAAGTGGACAATTTTGACAAATAGGCTAACAATTTTACCCAATATTTTTAAAAAGCTTGTTTATTAAGTATCATCTTAGCAACATGTTAACATCCCCCAGTTGTCAAGCTGCAGTGCGCTTTGTTTGAGAGGACATGGATTATAAAATACATTTAATTCAATACCAAAAACATAGATTAAAAAAAAGTTTTAAAAAAAAGACTGTTTTACCAGTTATTTGCATGTGCTTTTTTGCATGCATTTTATGCTTTTTAGAGTATCATGTTTTTAACTGAGCAACAGCTATGGAGCTACTGTGTGCTCTGAACTCTGCTTGTTGCATGAAATTACATGAATTCATACATTTCATTCAGTACCAAAAAGCATAGTTTTAAAAATTCAGTGCTATTTAAATTATGCCTTAGAAGGCAGCTGCCTATGAAGGCAGTGGACAGCAAGAAAGCTCACAAGGTTTTGAAACTAAAGCCTTATCTTATCCTCTTGCGTTGTGCGTGTGTGTCCAGGGGAAGGATATGTACCTCATTCTGGAGAATAACATGCTGAATCTGGTTGACCCCATGGATCGAAGCGTTCTACACTCTCAGCCAATCGCAAGCATCCGTGTGTGGGGTGTCGGCCGCGATAATGGAAGGTATGCACTGGTTGCCATGGCAAAGTTTATTTTTATGGGTTAGTTAAGGAGAACATGTTAAATGAGGAAGGGTTTATGAAATGTTTAATAAATGACAGAGATAAACTGAACAAAACTGAATGATTAATAACTCACTCTGTATTTATGAAAATGTGGGAAGTGTTTCTAAAATTCTTTTGGAAACCACACAGATGGGGCATAAAGGGATTTTATGTGAGTTAAAACATTACAGTTCTCAGCTGCCATAAACATCATCAGAGTTTTATTTACGTGGAGCTAATTTTCTACTTTGCTGATCCTGTTCGGCTGACTGGTCATCTATCAACACTAATAATATTTAATCTCTGTGACCCACTGAATGTTGGCTCGAAGCTCTGCACTGTTTTAGAGTAAGCAGTTTCTGCCTAGTTAAATCAGATCAACATTTTCAAAAACCAAACTGACCTACAAAAGATGTTGAATGGATGTACATTTCAACATTACAATCCTTTTTTTATTAAAGGGAAATGCTTTTTATCAAATAAAAAAAGAATAATTATAATTATTTCAAATTTTCAGATGGCTTCTAAAAGCGTACTTTTTCAGCCAGTGTTGCCAAGTATTTTCAAAACATTAAATGCAAAAAACTTAAATGTACAAAAATGCAAGAACTGAGGAAGATGTTTTCCTCACCTTTTTTCCATTAAATAATCATTATGAAGGAATAATGGTATTTATTTTCATGTACATGCACCAATATAAAAATATATAGTAATAAATATCAGTATTTAATAGAAAAGCAGTATTTAGAATATATTAAAAAAACATTTGTTAGAACATTTTAATATACAAAAAAGAGACTTTCATACACATTTTTGAGTGATGACGGTAAAAGCAAAAGGTTTAAACAAACAGACAATGCACAGAACATTTCTTAATTTTACATCACAAGCAAAATCATCAAAAATATATTGTGACTGTTGAGTGTAAAATATTGCATGAAGCATGTGTCGTGAATTCTTCACATTTCATTTTAATTAGAGATTTTAGATCTGCAAACGTCAGCATCTCTGCACCTGTGACTTTCCTCATGTGCTCATTATCTATAACACTCTGCAAGAGATTCACTTAATGTGTCTCTGTTAATGTATTCTGATATCGAGACACTCCTCCAGCCCCTTCAAGCTTAAGGTCACTTATATAATGATTCTGGATTAAAGTCACCCCAGTGAATACTGGAGTGAGAAAGGAGGAATAGCAGGACTGTTAGAAGGTGGAGTGGGTGGAATTTCTCCAGATGGTGTGAATGAGGAGGAGGAGATTTCAGTTGAGAATTGTGGATGTACTGTATGTGTTGTCATTTACTGTGGTGAGGATCGTATTGTGGAGTACTGTGTGTTTGGTTATTAAAGTAGGTCACGGCAAGATGTTCACGTCACTAAACAGGTTACATTTGAAAGAGACTGCAACTTCCTTGCATGTTCCCTCAGATCAGGTCTTCCCTCTGATACCATCCCACACATCTACGCAAACTAGAACACGTGCCTTTTTTTCAAATTCCTTTGGGGAACCTCAGGGTTCTGTTCTCGGTTCATTTGCGTTGTTCCCTGTACCTCCTTGTAGTTTCTCCTTGACCCTCCAGCACTTTTTCCAGTTGAATCCTGCTGAGGTGCTGTAAAACAGCCCATTTTGAACAGGTTTACCAGCCTGGTTTCATTCTGGACATTATTGAGTGCATTGAGTTCATCTGGTTTTATTCTCTTTCTCTCTCAGTCTGTTAAATCTCTAATTATCACACTGTTACATATTCATGTTTCTTACTGGCTGCACACTGAGAGCCTCATGTTTTGAGGTGTCACATACATCGTGATAAATTTCTGAATACTCTTGTCACACCTGCTGGTCTCGTTTTCTCTCTTTTCCCTCTTATTTTATTTTTCTTTCATACATACTTATTATTGGTGTTTGGAAAAGACAGTGCTGCTAAAATTTCCCCACAGCATGTTCCAGCCATTGTTGTTGAGATACGCATCCTGCCAATGACATTTTTATGGTCTATTAGTAATGCACATGTTCTGAAATACCTGTACACATCAGAACCCTTTCATGAAATACAAGCAGAACATGTTTCTGTCAATCCTTCATTGTTTCATTAATGGGCTTCATTGTGTGTATTTTCTCATAATGTTTTTTTTAAAATCTTTTACTTGACTGCTTTCCGGGACTCAGAGAGAGGTAAATTGATTTACCCTATTATTACTTATATTCACATCATTGCCTGGTTGTAGTCTCTTCCTGGACATTTTGTTCATAATAGTTTATTTTTAGCAGAAATTATAAAGAATGTGTGTAATACAGCTGGAGGTGTAAGTTTAGAGACACTCATTCATCTTAGATAGCCACATGCACCTGCATATACCGGTAGTAGGTGATGTGTGTGCATTTTATCCATGGTTATATTTTACACCATTTTTTGTTTGCCTGAAATGTGGGTGTGTTTATTTTAAGTAACTGTTTTTTAAATTGACTGTCTCTGTTAAACTAAAGGGCACATCATCCATCAGGGTATTTTAGGACAGTTCTTTGCATATGCACAAACACAGAAATACACACAAACTCTCATTCACAACTCACATTATAACCATGTGTCTGTTCATCTGCATTGTTTATTGATCGTTTTTATTAAATAAATTAAAATATTTGCTTAAAGTCAACATGAAATCAAAGTGGACTCTATTTACTTTCAAAATGCACATTCCTGGTCTAAAAAAAGCAACATTTTGAGCAAAAAGGTTAGAAAATCATGTTTTTGTCATAGACTACGTACAGATTGGATTCAGAATGATGATCAAAACATAGATAGAGTCGATTGCTTCCATCAACACATCCAAAGCTTCACAGTCCTATAGCACTTCCTGATATTTCATTCGGTAACATTAGGCAGTTTTGATTTATATGCTGTTTAATGTTTGATGATTGCGTTATTTTACATATGCATCTGCTTTAACATACACAACCACTTGTTTCTGCTGTTTCTTCACCGTGTTTTGATCAGAAGATGTGTAATAGCACCTCCTATCGTATAATAGCCAAAACACGGAAAGATGGAAAATTCAGCCGATGGCAGAGAAAGAGTTAATAATATGATATGCATACTTTTCTTCACATTTAACACATACAATCCTCCCCGAATTCTGGATTTCTGAATAAATTGGTCATAAAATTTAATTTGATCTTTAACAAAAGACAAACACAATCTGCTTGAACTAACAAATAATGCTTTTTTGTTTTTATTAAAAAACAATGTAAACATTCACGAAAAAGTATGTACATCCTTGATCTTCCACCAAATCAGCCATGCAAAACTGTCAGACATTTGGCACTTTTAGTTCAGTGATATTTTTGAGATGTCTTGTGTGCATTGTTCTCTTGAGATCAAGCTTTTGTATCCCTTTCCAACTTTATGTAAGTCAACAATTCTGTGTTTGGAGAGCTCTTTTTTTGGATGGTTCACATCAGACAAAGCGTCTTGTGAAAAGCAAACATTGTAATTGTTGGTTTATAGGGCAAGGTGAGTCTGACCTCCAATCTTGTCTAATTGATTGGACTCCAGGTTAGATGACTCCCGACCCCAGTTAGCTTTTGGAGAAAACACTTCCACCCTACATTTAAGCAGACTGTGTTTGTCTACTGATGTGACTTAGCTGAAGATCAGATCAAATTTTATGGCTAGTTTATGGTGAAATCCAGATAAAGCCAAAGGGTTCCCATAGCTTTTCTTGGACCCATACATGCTATTACAAGGTCAGATGACACTGTTTTCTAGGCATGGACATTCTCAACGGTGCAATAGACAGTTTGATGACATCATCAATCCGAGAAGACTGGATTCCTGTGAAACTGAATGTAGCTGACGCAACAGTCACAGTCATCAAAGAAAAGGCAATGTTAAACCCAATAATATCCTGCCAAAATAGTTGTGTTTTACTAAAGTACAACTTGTTGTGTTTATGCAGTTGTGCTTATGATCTTTGGAATATTGATTCATGTATGATTCTTGATGTGACCACCTATATTAGGAGGAAGAGGAGGTCCTAGTGGAGTGTCGTGTGCGTTTTCTGTCATTCATGGGAGTTGGAAAAGATGTGCATTCATTCGCGTTCATCATGGACTCTGGGAGCCAGCACTTTGAGTGTCATGTGTTTTGGTGTGATCCCAATGCTGGCAGTGTGTCAGAGGCTGTTCAGGCAGCGTGCATGGTGAGTTATGGCACCAGAAAAACACCAGTTCTCCACCACATCAAATGTAAATGGGCACTATAGCTTTAGAATTAAACAAAATCAATGTCATGGCCAGAGCTGGGCAATATAGCTACAAAAATGATATCTCAGAAATTGTCAGCCTATTGAATGTATATACAGCTATGGAAAAAATTAAGAGACCACTTGAAAATTCTCAGTTTCTCTGGATTTACTGGATTACTAGGTATGGGTTTGAGTAAAATGTTAATATCTGTGTTATACTATAAAGGTCTGGTAACATTTATTTCAAATAAAAATATTGTCATTTAGAGCAATTTTCCCCCAGAAAATGACAATTGGTTTTCATTTGTTGTGATTGAAAATCAGGGTTATTCCACCAAATATTGATTTCTTAACTCTTCTAAAGTTAAAACATTGGTATTGGTATTGTGTTGTCTGAAAACATGGCATCTTTTTTGTTATTTTGACCAATTGTCATTTTATGCAAAAAATGCTCTAAATGACAACATTTGTATTTAAAATTTGGAGAAAATGTCATCAGTATTTTACAGAATAAAACAAAAATTATGTTTTACTCAAACACATAACTATAAATCATAAATCCAGAGAAACTGGGAATTTCTTAATTTTTTCTATACCTGTGTATGTATAGTTTGCGGTCAGTACGAATTTTTTAAAGAAATGGATTTTATTCGGTTAGTATGCATTAAATCAAAAGTGACAGTAAAGACATTTATAATGCTACAAAAGGTTTCTTATTTAAATAAATTAAGATAAATGTAAATACATTTCCACAAAAATATTAAGCAGCTTTCAGCTTTCAACACACAATAATAATAGGAAAATGTTTCTTGAACAGAAAATCAGCATATTAGAATTATTTCTGAAGGATGGAAGGCTGGTGATGGATGCTGAAAATTCAACTTTGCCATCACAGGAATAAATTACATTTATACAAATATATTACAGTTATTTTAAATTGTAGTAATATTTCACAATATTACTTTTTTCACAATTTTCCTGAATTTTTGATCAAATATACGCATCCTTGGTGAACATAAGAGAGTTCATTCAAAAACTTTTTAAAAAATCCCACTGTATATCCACTGCCCTTCATATATGTATTTTAATAAATATTAATAACAGTACATGGCCATAAACAGCTACCTTAATAAAATGTAAGAAAATAAAATACAGAGCATTCGGAAAGTATTCAGACCCCCTTCACTTTTTTCAATTTTGTTATGTTGCAGCCTGATATTACAATAATTTAAATTCATTTTTTTCTCCTTAATCTACACTCAGTAGCCCATAATGACAAAGTGAAAACAGAATTTGTATATTGTACACTGTATATTTGAAAAATTCCACACAGACACATCTATGAATAAAACTTGATGGCCAAAAAACATTAAAATCATTGTAATATTCACAATGTTGCTTAATCATTGTAAATACCTGATTTATCACCCACCCTTAGTCAAGACCATATATTAGATCAGTATCACAGCTGTAGTGTCCAAACAACAACCCAACCTTAAGTCTCGTCCATTCTATTAAAAGTTTTGTTATTTCATAAGTTTAAAGTTTAAAAAAAGATCTAATCCGACCGAGCCTGTTTCATTGCATGCAACACATGAATTCATTCCTTGTTTTCTTCTTTTTCTCTGCAGTTGAGGTATCAGAAGTGTCTGGTGGCACGCCCTCCATCTCAGAAAGCCTGCTCACAGGCACCCCCTGCTGATTCAGTCACACGCCGTGTCTCCACCAGCGTCAAACGTGGAGTTCTGTCCCTTATCGACACGCTCAAACAGAAGAGACCAGTCACTGAGCTCAACCAGTGATCTGACATACGAGCACGCACACTCACCGTCACGCTCTGCATGCTTAAAACTATCAGAATGTCCTGTACATACCTGTCCAGTCACGTGACGGAGATGAAGAAGAACTCGAGGGCGAAAACGGTCTGAAAATCAGTAATTATGAAATGAGCTGATGCCAAGAAAATACACCCTTTACTCGCACACTCACACACACCTAGTCCAGTATCTACAAGCCTCTCTCTTCCGTCTCATGCGATTATCTGCATGGGAAGCCACGCCACTCCAGCATGACTGAAACCAACAGGCTCCGCCCATCTATAAGATCCACCCTATCTGGACAAAGCCTCCTCAAAGAGATTTGTGTAATTCAACAAGAACAAACAAGGCTGCTTCACTCAACAGAGCTTCTTCATAGACCATATGTGTGTGCGGGTGTGTAGAGGAGCTTGATGCTGCTTCATTTGCTAAAGGATGTTCATAAGTGTCATAAAAGCTATTTTTTGTTGCATTCTTTATTATCCTGAGAGAAGAATGGGTGGATGAGAGGAACTGTGCTCTGTGTTCCATTCAAAGTTGGATGACGGATATTCTTACTTGATATCTTCTGACCAAGTTGCTCCAGTGTTCAGTGCTCAAAAGATGAGGTGTGAAGGTTGCGGTAACATTAGCGATATTTTGGTGACATTTCGGTCCGTTGCTAATTGTCAGTAGTGCAGCGACGTATGAAGCACAACTTGCATAAAAGCTACAATTGGTCAACACAGTAAATTCATATTAACAACTTGTGAAATCCAATCATTTGGATACCTATTGGAACAAAGGTAAACGTGACCGCACCTTAAGGCAACAAAACAACACTATATTAGCAGTGCATTAGTTCAGCGTCAACAATGAAGTCTTCTAGCAACCAAATTACGGAGAATAAATGCGCAAGTTGGAAGTTCGACTTCAAGGGAAGTACCTTTGCGCTTTTCCAAGTAGGAAATTCCAGCTTTTTGAGTTGAGTGAAACCACATTAACGTCGAAGCTTTCACCAAATGGTTTTGTTTTCTTCAAGAAGCTCTGCTGACACGTTCATCTTCACCTGAAGTTGATGAGGAGGCTTAGAAAAGATGCCAATATGAAACAGACTTGCTCTGCATTAACACAGCTGGAAGGACACGACCTGTTCAGTGTGTAGATGTAAAGTATGAATGTGCTTTTTATATTTCCAAAGTGAAATTGCCTTTTTGTTTTTTCTTTGAAAGAGAGAATGTTGTGGAAGAGAACTGAATTACTCATGGAGCAAAATACAGGAGGCGGGAAGAACTTTGTCTAGAGTCAAACCCTTCAATCGTGTCAATTCTGCTTTGAACCCCAGCGTAGTGCTTGCTTCCTCCAGAGGCTCTCCAGTGACTGAAAGTCAAAAATACCTGACCTATAGGAACTATCTGCAGCACATCCAAGTTAGTGAAAAACTCCAATGTCTATGAAGAGCTATTTCAGTTCCAGCATCCATTCCTCACGTTTGGATGCCATTAGTGGCTCTACGTGTCCTGATTGTGTTTCACAAATTTGTATTTTAATTTTTTTGACCCGCACGCACCTATGTGGTCTTGCTGTGCTCTGGCGTGCCACCTGTAGTCCTAGACTTACCCTTTCTTTCACGAGGGTTTTGACGAGTCACTTCTGTGTGTACATATAGTATCTATATATAGCAAACATCATATCATAAGGCTTTATTTTTCAAATTTCAGATACTTTTATTTTGTCGCTTTTTTTTTGGTTTTGTTTATTTTGGTCATACTTGCCTTGGCATGTCTTGCGATCCCGTTTATTCTGGCCATACTGTAAAAAAAAATCATATATGTGTTGTAGATAAACCAACTGATAAAACAAAGAAAAGAAGAAGAGTGAAAGATGGTAGAGATTGTGAATACGAATTTATTTTATGGTCCTTTTTAGGAGAGCTAGCTCTAGGGGAGGAGATGTGAACTGTAAGTGTCTATCTATGCATTCTTTTAGCTCTGAAGAAGATTTGAGAGGAAACAAAAGACACATTGCCTTGCATGTCCTGCGACAATTTAAAAATATATTGTGACTGTTGAGTGTAAAATATTGCATGAAGCATGTGTCGTGAATTCTTCACATTTCATTTTAATTAGAGATTTTAGATCTGCAAACGTCAGCATCTCTGCACCTGTGACTTTCCTCATGTGCTCATTATCTATAACACTCTGCAAGAGATTCACTTAATGTGTCTCTGTTAATGTATTCTGATATCGAGACACTCCTCCAGCCCCTTCAAGCTTAAGGTCACTTATATAATGATTCTGGATTAAAGTCACCCCAGTGAAAGGAGGACAGAAATAAAATATTGATGATAGAGAGACGTGCTAATGAAAGTTTAATCCAGTGTTATAGGGGCTGCCCGTATGTGTAGCTGTATGTGAAGAGTGTTTGTGAGGTCATCCAAAAGTTGCATATGAATCTCTCACACACTAAAGAGCTTTCCTGCTTTAGTCCCAGAAGAGCTGACAGGTTTGTGTGTTAGTGAGTGTGTGTGAATGATGCAGGGGTGGAATGCAGCATACTTCATCAGGGATGCTGAATCACAGTTTTGCCTCACTGAGTGTAAGCAGTACCACATTCTGACCAGCAGATGGCACTCTTCATATGTTCTCTAAACAGGAATCATGCTTCAGGCTGGTTTTTTTTTTTAGATTTATTGTGTAGTCTGCATGTGTACGCATGTGTTTGCATATGATCATTGTGTCCTCCTATGCTAATACTCCACTAAGCCCATCAGTAACATTTTCCTCCCAAGAGGTTACCGTAGCGACAAGCGAAACGAGAGGGGGAGGGTAGAAGGAATGCTGGGATTGGATGGAAAGAGAGAGAGCAAAAATGAGAAGGGGGTAAAAAAGAGAGAGAATGAGTGTAAAGAGGTGAGCTGCATGTTTTTAACAGAGCAGAGGATGAGGCGAGGAGGTGAAAATCTGTAGAAGAGGGGTACGGCATAATGTTAAAGCGGGGAAAACACATTCATTAATAGATGTGAGTATTTTTCTCTTTTTCTGTCCATCGTTTTTCATTATTTACTCTGTAATTCACCTAACTTGAGACAGTACACATGAATAAATTTAAGCCATATTTTCTACAGCATGGCATTTGTTGTTTAGTAGTTTTCAGTTGAAGTATGTACTGGAGTGAGAAAGGAGGAATAGCAGGACTGTTTTTTAGCTCTGAAGAAGATTTGAGAGGAAACAAAAGACACATTGCCTTGCATGTCCTGCGACAATTTTAAAAAATGAACAGAAATGATATTTTTTATTTTATTTATTGTATTTTATATCGGTATATACTGGTTTCATTGTGATGTATCATATGCTTAGACATTCTTTACCCTGTATTGAACAACAAATCAAACACGAAATGTCAATTCAAATCACTGTACAGTTGCTCTGGTGACCCTCAAAGAGCTGTGTATCTCAGACGCTGACTGCCATCGTAACATAACATTTGAAAGGCCTTTGTAGGACCTTTACATTCTGCCCAAACCAATATTAGACGTAGGTATAGGCTAGTATACGCTATATGGCCAAAAGTATGTATGGCTATTTGACTATTTAATTTGCAACAGGTGCATAAAATCAAACAATCAATCTCCTTTTGGACCCTTCACTCAAAAATGTGGTCTTTGAGAAATCTCAAAACCCTTAATGCTTTTTTTTAAAACGTGGCGCCCAACGCAGGGTCTCCCCAGCGGGAACCTTGGTATCAATTTGACGTCAAATATTAGTCAAGACTTGATCAAGATGCTGTAACATTATTTTTAATTCAGTTTGGACTGCAGTTTCTTGGGTGAAAATAGGAAGTTAATCCCACACTGAAATTGGTTTAATGCATATGTAGGTCAATATGTTTGACATTCAATTTACGTCAAATCAATGTCATGTCAAGTTTTTGATGTCAGTTTGATTTGCATATTTGACCTGTTTTTTTTTTTGACGTCAGTTTTGATGTCTTTTCAACATCAATTGCCCACTGGGTCAAGACGAGTTTTAACAATGCGTTTTAAAAACGTGGCGCCCAGCGTAGGGTCTCTTAACACTTCTAAAAGTGTTAACTTGATGTATTTTAACCCAACATAGGATCTCAAGACACATTTTTATGAGTTTCATTTATATAGCACTTTATGCAATACAGCTTGTTTCAAAGCAGCGTTATGGTTTTAGACAAGGAAATAGTGATGCAAACTAAATTAAAGCAGCTCTAAAAAGATAATAGTGATTATTTAGTTGAAAACAGTTCATTATTGATTCAGTTTGGTTCAATAACTGTGTAAAGTCCATTAATTATAGCTTGATGCATTTTAAAAACACGGTGCCCATGCGTGAGACGCTAAAAGACATGGCTAATAATGCATATTTACAATAGCAAAACAATTCAAAAGCCTTGCAGTGAAACATTTTTAGCATAATACAGTAGGATGCACTGGAAGCTGTTATAATGTCCTATTAATGATTTGTATGATTTATATTATATTAGACATCCATTTGGTCAATTAGTGTATGTTCCAAAATGTCAATTTAAACAAATTTCCTCAACAGACATATTCATCAAGACTGTTCCAATCAGATTTTATCAAAATTAGAGCACATTTGTTTGGGCAGTATGTAGATGTTTAGCTAGTTTAACTATAACCATTACTCCTGTATCCTGACCACACGAGGCCTCTGCTTTCACCCTGCTAATCAGAGTTTGAGATGGTGAAATAAGTGTCATCTGTATAAACATGTTAAAATGACCTGATGCAAATCAATCTGCCTGTGTACTGCACCCCTTCAGTCTCCCCCTCTTATCATCTCTGTTGCAGTTTTGAAGAAGTGCATGTTGGTTTTTGTTCAGTTTTATTTTTCATGTGAATTTCACTCTGTGATGTTGGGCCTTATACAACTCACTGTTTTCTTTTGAATAATTTTTTGTTTGTTTTTTTGGAGGGGTTCACAGTAAATAAGAATCAATCACACTTTATGTTTCAAAATGAATTCAGTGGCAACTGGCAAAGTCAGCTGTGACACGCAAAACCAGAAAGAGGAAGGAGGCTTATGGGTAATGTAGTCCAGTACAATAATTCAGCATAGAATCGGCATTCTCATGTTAGCCAAGAATAGTGTGTTTGACTCGAGTGTTCTTGCATGGTGAATCACTCTGATCGACGATTATCAGGAGAAATCTCATCACAAGGATTAACAAGCTAAGAATCAACACTACTGGTGAAATACACTCAAACACACGTTTTTGTGGAAACGTTGGCTTTCTCTGCTCTACACTAATTTGTACACCATATAAATGTAAACTGTTGTGAAAATAAATGGCATATCACAAAATACATAAAATGTTTCTGGCTGTTACTTGATTTAATAAAATATAGTCTACTGTTATGGCCTAATGAGCTATTGAATGTAACTATTTGAAATTTTCAAATTGTTGTGGTGAAATTGTACGATCTGCTTATGGCCCATTGATTTTTAGGGGGTGGACCTTCATGCTTTGCATTTCTCTAAAAAGCGTACGTTTTGTACTAGTCAAATTGTACACATTGGATATTCATAGTTTACAATATATTTGGGCCAATAAAGCTTTAGTGGCATAATTACTAAAGTCACAATGAAATATATTTTCTTCCATATTATGACTTGGTTCTACCCATTGCTTGTTGGTTGGATGGAGGCAGACAGGCTGATATATTTACAGTCGGTTATAAGAAAGGGCTAACCAGATCAAACGTTGGGAGAAGTCCAACATTTGTCATCAGAGACGTCGTTTTACCAGAAAATTGAATTATGACATTTTGGTTAATAAGTTGCCTCAAACGTATTCCTCAAAATGAATAAAAACAGTGAAATGCAAACTCAGAATATGATGCAAACCTGCAATAATTAAATATGTTAAATGACACAAATATCCTTATAAAAAAATAAATAAAGATACAAAATATTGTTTAAATTAAATGAGATAGAAATGTGGTTTAAATACACCATGTGGTGCATATTGATACAAATCAGTTTTTTTCATATTTGTAGTCCAACACACAAAATCAGGACCTTCCTTTCCAGGTAACAAATCACAAACAAAATGTGTTCAACATAGTATACATGATACTAACAGTTACAGTATTGCCAAAGTACAGCATACATCAACATTAATAAACCAACTATGCCGTTTTAGTCATAAGATCAGTACCTTGCTTTCAATGGCGATATACTGGTCTGCACACATTGTTTACTACAATTCTTTTGTATGGAAGCACAAGGGATGTGTATTTATGAACAACAGGTTGTAGCTCAGCGCCATGTCTGTGAATGTAAAACGATGGAGTCTCTGCCTTTGGCAATGCTGCTGGAAGAGGAAAGACTGCTGGAGAAATTAGAAGACATGGAGGAGTACAGTCGATAGGAGGATGAAGAGAGACGTGAAGAACGGAGTCAACTCTCTTGACCGGATTTCCTCCCTGGCTTCCTTAAAGGCTTCTGATTTGATGTCCTTTTTTGGTTTAACGGACTCTCGTTGAGACAAATGTCTGGATCTGTGCGGTGACCCCGGGGTTCTGAAGTATGTCCGGAAGTATGACCATATTAGCCCGGTTCTGTCAACACTGCACTGGCTACCTATTAAATATCGTATAGATTTTACGAGTCCTCTGCTCAATGTGGCTTTGCTGCAGCCTGAAATTGAACTGCTGGTTTTGTCTGGCCAGAGGAGAACTGGCCCCCCGACTGAGCCTGGTTTCTCCCAAGGTTTTTTCTCCATTCTGTCACCGATGGAGTTTTGGTTCCTTGCTGCTGTCGCCTCTGGCTTGCTTAGTTGGGGACACTTCATTTCCAGCGATATCGTTGACTTGATTGCACAGACACTATTTAAACTGAACTGAGCTGGATGATGACATCACTGAATTCAATGATGAACTGCCTTTAACTGAAAAATGAGTGTTTACTATTGTCATTTTGTATTATTGACACACTATTTTCCTAATTAATGCTGTACAGTTGCTTTGACACAATCTGTATTGTTAAAAGCGC